CTACTCCTTTAGCCTGTGCACCATTCCCAGGCCTCCTCTCTCCATCCTGCCCCCTCACATTTCCAGGCCTGGGGTTCCCCCTTCTCTGGCTTCAGCCCCATTGAAAGCACAGGGAGGTGGCAGCCATCCTGACTGAGGTTAGTGGCAATGCCCGCCCCTCTGGAAATGCCAGGGGAGACTGAAGAAGGACCAAAGGCTCCAGAGAGGCAGTAAGTAATGAGGAGCTGAACCCACCCCCAGGCCAAAGATCAGGGGGTTCCTGATAACCATGTCGGAGCCAGCATCACCCTGGTCTCCCTTCCTCATGTAAGTCTGAGTCCCTGATGCCTGTGGCTCCCCCTGCCTGGCTCTGACACTCTGCTCTGTCTCAACCAGGTCCTTGGTGCCGTGATGAACATCAGCCGTGGGAATCCAGCTGGCCGTGAGGTGTTGGTGGCCCAACTTCAAAGCTGTCCTCACCTGGCCACGCAAGGAGGTGGGACTCCCCCGCTATGGGGTACAGGGACTGTCTCCCTTGGCAGGTGCCAGCTCCTCTGTGAAGGAGTGTGGGGCTGGCAGGAGCCAGGGCCTTTCCCTTATGGGAGGCGCTTGCAATAGTGTGGCCCAAAAGATAGCTGACTTGGGGTATGAGAAGATTGCTTCTCCTCCCTGGAGTTTCCCTCTCAGCAAGCATCTCCTGGCAGGTGGTGACGGATGACTCTGATTTCTATGCTAACATGTACGCAGCCTTCTACCGGGACCTGGGTGCCTACTGGGCACTGCTGAGCAGCCCAGGGGCCATCAACTGGGCCCAGACCTTCCGCATACATGGTAAGTCAGGGACCATCCCCCCTGAACCCCACAGCAAGAGCCCAGGTGTGGGAAGACCCCAGGCACTGCACAGGAGCTCTGGGTCTCTTTTGGGCTTAGTTCACCCCCTCCCCCTCACTTCCATCAGTCCGACCCCCCCCACCCCCCACATACATGGGCACTATTCAGGGTCTCCCACGCCTGCTCACAGTGCATTGCTTCCCGCCCTGCAGGGCTCCAGGACAGCATGTGTGAAGCCTCCAGGGACATTGCCAAGGCCAAGGGCTTCCAGGTGTACCCATCCACTTACTTGGTGTATCTCCTACCAAGCTCCAGCACTGTACCTGATGTCAGGTCAGCGTCTGCTGTGCTGCCCTCATGGGGCTCTGAGGCCATCTCATTGCTCTGTATCCAGGCCAGAAATCACAAGCTAGGCCTAAATGGGGTCCCCAAGTCATCCCCGTCCTGCTCCCCATCCCCCATACCAGTGAACCCACCCCTACCTTCTCGCAGCTCTAGTGTCCCCCTTTCTGCTGCCCAAGGCTGGACCTTGAGACTGGGTCAGAATTATTATCCCCAAGAGACAAAAGGCTTGTGCCCCATTCTCACTTCTTGAGGTAGCTGGTGCCCTGGCCTGGGGCTTAGTGAGAGCCACTGTTCCCCTTCCCCTTCATCTGCCCATTTTTGTAGTCTGTCTAAATCTAGTTGCAGCCTCTCTCTTCCTTCAACTGTGTCCACCTCGCCCCAGATCTTAATGTCATCAGCAAACTTGGACAGGGTGGAAAGCAACTAGATTTAGACAGACTACAAAAGTGGGCAGATGAGAATAGGATGGGGTTCAACGTAGACAAATGCAGGGTGCTGCACCTTGGGAGAAGGAATCCACAGCATACATACAGGCTGGGGAGTTCCCGTCTTGAGGGAGGAAAGGGATCTTGGAGTCATTATTGACTCCAAGATGAACATGAGCCGTGACTTTGGTCAGGTCGCAGTTGGAGTACTGCATCCAGTACTGGGTGCCACACTTCAAAAGGGATGCGGCCAGCCTGGAGAGGGTTCACAGGAGGGCCACCCATTTGGTGAGAGGGCAGCAGGACAGGCCCTATAAGGAGAGACTGAGGGACCTGAACCTGTTCAGCCTTGGCAAGAGAAGTATGAGGGGGGACTTGGTGGCTGCCTACAAACTTATCAGGGGAGAGCAACAGCAAATAGGCAGAGCTCTTTTCTCCCCAGCACCCCCTGGGGTGACAAGGAACAATGGTCATAAGCTGATGGAGAATAGGTTTAGGTTGGAGATCAGAAGGCAATATTTTACAGTTAGGGTGGCCAAAATCTGGGACCAACTTCCCAGGGAAGTGGTCCTCGCCCCTACCTTGGGCAGATTCAAGAGGAGGTTGGACGATCACCTGTCTGGGGTCTTGTGAACCCAGCATTCATTCCTGCCTGTGGCAGGGGGGCAGGCTAGATGATCTGTTCAGGTCCCTCCTGACCTTAGCTACTATGATACTATGATACTATGCACCTCTGACCTGGCCTTCCCATCTGACTCTAGCAACCTCTCTCTGCTGCTTCAGGCTGGACCCTGCCATGAGGCTCTCGAACCTGGATGTCTCCCATGTCGATCTGCTGAATGAGACATGGCCCTATGGAGGGAATGAGCAGAGCCGGCGGTATATAGCCATGCTAATCCGTGGCTTCCCCAGCACCTGCTTCCTGGATGCCACAGGCCGCCCCATCAGCTGGACAATCACTGATCCTTTTGGTGCCCTGACACATGGCTACACCCTGCCTGAGCACCGTGGCTGTGGCTATGTCAGTGCTTTGTCCTTTATCTTGGCCCAACAGATTCAGACACAGGGTTACCCTGTCTATGGCAACGTGGCATTGGACAACCACCACATGCAGAGACTGCTGCAGTTCCATGGCTTCCAGTGCCAGACTAAGCTGTGCCGTATCATCTTCCACAGCCCGGTGCCAGGCAAGTTTCCTGCCTGGGTTCTTCCAGACTTTTAGCTGGATGCCATTCCTGGATTCACTGCTGGGCCTGGTCCCAGCCTGTACCCCTAGTCATTGCCCATGGACTGGTGCTGAGGGCTGCCAGCATGGCTGGGCAAGGCCAGGGCTCACCTAATTTCATCTCCAGCCCCTCTCTCTGGCTGGAAGCCTGAAATGTCACATAGGGCAACCCCTCTTCCTGTACTCCTGAGTCCCAAAACCAGGCTGATGGGCTCTGTCCTGTCCCCTGCACCCAATAGCCAGGCCCCTCAAGGGTAGCCTCCTTTCTGCACTCCATACCTGTAGCACCACACTGCCAACCCCCTCAGTGGTGGCCTTAGGGTTGTTGTGGCCCTGGGCAAGAGTCATTTGGAGCCCCTTAGAACCACTTCCTTGCAAAAACTTCACCCCACAAAGAATGTGGGTCTCCTAAAGTCTGGGGCCCTGGGCGGTCGCCCAGTTTGCCCTCCCCTAAGGCCGCTACTGGTCCCTTGCACTACCCTGGGCACCCAGACAGCACCCCCCCCCCCCGGCTTTTCCCCCCTCCCATTTAAAAAAGCTCCTGCATCCACTCACCTGCATCCTGTGGTCTGACGTGTGCCCCTCACCTGCCATCTCCCCCAGCCAGCCCCCAGGTACCCTGCTCCATTCCCCCACCTCCCCCCTCATCCTCTTCTTGGTATTTCATGGATTTCATAGACATTAGGGCTGGAAGGGACCTCAGGAGATCATCGAGTCCAGGACAGGAAGTCAGCTGGTGTCAAAGGATTCCAGCAATATAAGCATCCCAATGCTTCCTAAAGGAGTCCAGAGTAGGTGCTTGCACCACCTCTGGAGGGAGCCTATTCCAGGCCTTGGGGGCTCAGACAGTAAAGAAGTTTTTCCTTATGTCCATCCTAAAATGGTCTTGGAGGAGTTTGTGACTATTGGTCCTTGTCATCCCTTGTGGTGCTCTGGTGAACAGATGTTCCCCCAGATCCTGATGCATAGCCCTGATGTACTTATAGGCAGCCACCGGATCACCCCTGAGCCTGCACTTTTCCAGGCTGAAGAGTCCCATGGCTCTCAGCCTCTCATCATAAGGCCTATTCTCCTGCCCTCTGATCATGCACGTGGCTCTCCTCTGGACTCTCTCAAGCTTCTCCACATCGTTCCTGAATTGTGGAGCCCACAACTGGATGCAGTACTCCAGCTGTGGCCTCACCAAGGCCAAGTACAGCAGGAGGATGATATCCTGGGATTTACTTGAGAAGCATCTATGGATGCAAGCCAGAGTTTGGTTTGCTTTACCAGCTGCGACATAGCATTGGTGGCTCATGTTCATCTTGTGGTCAATCATGACTCCCAAGTCCCTTTCAGCTTTGGTACTAGCAAACGTAGCACTGCCGAGCCTATAAGTATGCTGCAGGTTTTTTCCCCCCAAGGTGGAGTACCTTGCATGTGTTGGTATTGAAAATCATCAGGTTTGTATCCACCCACTTTTTCAGCCTATCCAAGTCAGCCTGGATCACCAGCCTGTCCTCCGGTGTGGACGCTCTACCCCAAAGTTTGGTGTCATAGGCAAACTTGGCCAGTCCACTTCTGACACCTGTATCCACATTGTTGATAAAGATGTTGAAGAGAACAGGTCCAAGGATGGAGCCTTGGGGGACACCACTGGTCATGGAGCGCAATGATGATTCTCTTCTGTCAACCAACCCACTCTGAGTCCGGCCTTGGAGCCAGTTCCGCAGCCATCAGATTGTGATGTAGCTGAGACCACAGTTGGCCAATTTTTCCAAGAGGAGATCCTGGGACACCAGATCAAAGGCTTTTTTGAAGTCCAAATATATGACGTCAATCTCTTCTCCCTTGTCCAGGTGATATGTCTCCTGGTCGTAGAAGGAAATGAGATTGGTGAGGCAAGACCTACCCACAACAAACCCATGCTGGCTGTCCCTCAGGATGTTGCCATCAGCCAGCTTGTCAAGAATGGACCCATTGATGATTTTTTTCCAGAATCTTACCAGGGATTGAGGTCAAGCTGATTGGCCTGTAGTTCCCTGGATCTACTTTCCTCCCTTTCTTGAAGATGGGCACTACATTGGCCTTCTTCCAATCTTCAGGTACTTCACCTGAGTGCCATGAGTTTTCGAAAATCTTGGCCAGTGGTTAGGCTATGACTCCTGTCACCTCCTTAAGTGCTCTGGGGTGCAATCCATCAGGACCCGCTGACTTGAAGGTGTACAGCCTCTCAGGGTTTTCCTTTACAAGGTCTACACCGATGCTGGGTATAATTTCACCCTCACCCTGGCTGTCCCGCATCTTGCTGGGCATGGCGGACCCTTGGGGTTGATGAAAAACCAACGTGAAGTACCCATTAAGCAGGTTAGCTTTTTCCTGGGAGTCGGTTGTCAGTTGTCCTATTTGGTTTAGCAGGGGTTCAATGTTACCCTTGCTTTTCTTCCTACTCCCCACATATCTAAAAAAGTGATGGCTACAAATGTCCAACTTGGGATCCTTAAAATTCTGGTTTATTAGGCAGATTGAAACACTGTAATGAAGTGAAATCATAAACCTTGGGGCTGGTCCCCCTCCCCCCCCCCACACACACACACACATGCACACACACAGTAGCGAGCTACAAGAGTCGGGTATACCTATCCCACAGGCGATGGAGTCTGCTGTTGATGGCCAGTCGAGGCTTCTTCCAGCGTGGTGTTATCCTCCAGAAGGGGGTTGCCAGCTGGTCCTTCTGGCTGGACAGGTCGGGTGCTGGTCAAGTTGGAGATCAAGAGGGTGCCACTGAGGGTCACTTTTCACTGGTTTTTATCTGTCCTTGTCAGACTTTGGTGACTCCCCAGTTTTCAGGTTTGCCCAATCCAGGGGTTGTTGACCCTCGTGGGACTTCCCCTTCGGTGGCTACTGGATGAAATCTGTCAGCCCCAGGGGTCATCCGCATATCCTTGCAGGTTTGGAAGTCCATTGATGAATTTTGAATAGGGCTCTGGGAGCGGTCGATCTGGAGATATTCAGCCCCAAAAGTTGGTCCCCGGCGTTGACTAACTCAGACCGGGCTTCTAGCCCTTGAACAGTGAAGTTTAGAGAATTCCCGGTTGCTACATTGTCTCCTATTGATTTCTTCCATTGGTTGATCTGCGGTTTCCCTAGGTATTAATTGCCGCCTGCTACTGTGTTACGCATTCAATCACTGATTCACTTGCTCTTTCAGGGGCCTGTCTGATACAGGGAAGGGCAGTTTGATTCCTGCCCTTGTTAACATTGTTACAGTGTATAACTTGCTTCTAAAACTAAAAGGGTGTAGGTTCTAAAACTAAAACACATTTAGTTAAAAGGTGAAGAGTATAAAATATAAGCTACAAGAGTAATGCCATGGCACACAAATAGATAAAAATACCAAAATACAAGGGGAGATACAAAATACACACATACAAACTTTAAAACACAATTCCTTATCTTATAGTGAAAGAAAGAGGAAGGAAGAAAAGGTAGAAGAGGAGAAACATATTCAAAGAGGGGAAAGCACATGCAGGCAAGAGGAAAAGGGGGCTTTCTGCTACAAAAGGACTTTTTATTGTCCTTGATTTGTGTAGCCAGGTGGAGTTCAGTTGCAGCCTTGGCTTTCCTGGTTTGCTCCCTACAGGTACGGACCAGTGCAGAATATTCCTCCTCTGTGGTGATTCCTATCTTCCATCCTTTATAAGGCTCTCTTTTTTGGCTTAGGATGTCCACGAGTTCCCTGCTGAGCCAAGGGGGTTGCTGTGCCCTTTTGCTACCTTTCCTCTGAGATGGGATGGACATACCTTGTGCCTCCAGGATCGCTCTCTTAAGAAGCGACCACTCCTTTTGGTCTCCTCTCCCTGCTGAGTCTTGGTCCCTTAGTGCCTCGACAACAAGCCTCCTGAGCTTATCAAAGTCAGCTTTCCTAAAGTTGAGGACTTCTGCATTGCTGACTGACTTGCCAGCTTTGCGATGCATAGTAAAGGTGATCAGCTCATGGTCACTGTCTCCCAGCTTTCCCTTGATCTTTAGGTTGCTGACTTGGTCATCCCCTTTAGCCAGTACCAGGTCCAGCAGCGCTTTACCTCTTGTGGGTCCATAGACTTCTTGAGTCAGGTAGAGCTGCACATGAGGAAGCTTTGTGACCATTCAGATTTGGCCGAGTGCTCTTCCCACGAGATGTCTGGGTAGTTGAAGTCTCCCATGACAACTATGCACCGAGAGTGTGTAGCCTCAGCCAGTTCCCTGGCAACTTCCTAGTCAATCTTTTGTTCCTGATTAGGAGGTCTGTAGTAGACTCCTACCATTGTGTCCCCTGTGCTATGTTCCCCACATATTTTAACCCAGAGGGTCTCTAGTTGCCCTCCCTGGGTTCCATTGTCAGCTTGCAGGGATGTGTAGCTGTCCTTGACATAGGGAGCTGCACCTCTATCCCTTTTATCGGCACAATCTCTCCTATACAAGGTATAGCCTTCTAAACCTGTGGCTCAGTCATAGGTGGAGTCCCGCCAGGTCTCCGTTGTCCCTATGAAATCATAGTCTTTCTTGTTTAGTAGGAGGACCAGTTCCTTCTGTTTGTTCCCCAAGCTCCTGGCATTGGTGTACAGACATGTAAGTGTCCCATTGGGATCCCTAGGCTTCCTCACATTCCCCGGAGAACACCGTTCCAGGGCTGGGGTAAGAGTGGAATACCTTGGGTTCCCTAACCTGTTGGTTTTGTAGGTAATGCCTAGTGGGCTTGCTCTGGTGGTTGTCCACCCATCCCCCAGCAGGCTTAGTGTAAAGCCTGGTCAAGCAGATCAGCCAGTCTGGCTGAGACGAGCTTCCTCCCCAAGGGAGGTGGAGGCCATCTTTTCCCAGCAGACTGCTGCCTCTCTCACCAAAGAGTGGACTGTGATTGTGGAAGCCAAAGCCTTCACAATGACACTAGCACCACAGTCTTTGGTTGACTACCTTGATCCGTCTCCCCCTCCTCAGCCCATGACCCATAACTGGGAGGATAGAAGAAAAAGCCACCTGTGCCCCAACCCACTAAGCCCCGCTCCCAGAGCCCTGTAGCTATTTGTGACCTGGCTGGGATTGCTCCGAGCCGTGTCGTTTGTGCCCACATGGATAAGGAGCATAGGGTAGTGATCAGAGGGCCAGATAAGCTTGAGGATCCTCTCTGCCATATCCTGGATGCAGGCCCCTGGGAGGCAGTAGACCTCCTGGGCTAGGGGGTCAGGGTGGCAGATTGCCCCCTCAGTCCCCCTCAGGAGGGAGTCTCCCACAACAACCACTTATCATCTTCTGCCTGCGTGTCTTGAGCCAGAGCCGGGGACTGTGTATGGCTTCTGCCATTGCCGGGCCCTTTTTAAATCATTTGAGCCATGGGAGCTCTGGGGCAGAGTGGGGCTGTGAAACTGGTCCCCAATTAACAGCGTGCTAAAAGGCCTGGAGCTTGCCGATTGCCAGAGAGGCATGCTGGAGGGGCATGGGACATGCTGGGCTGGGGCTGCCAGCCATGGTGCTTTGACAACTCAAAGTGCTGGCTTTTCTGCTAATGCCAGAAGTGCCCACAGATGTGCCCCAGCAAGGGCTGTCTGGGGAAGAGCCTGTCTCAGCATCTCAGGGGTTAATTACACCCCAGCTTACACATGTTGCAGCCCAGCTCCTGGCATTCTCCAGATGTGCACAACTAGCTCCTTGGTGCCATCCCACCCTCTATTTTAGGGACTCTCTGCAACTTCCCATCCTGTCCCTCCCACCTCCCTGCCAGGGACCCTTTGAACCCCATGTTCCCTTCTCCCATGCCAGGCTCCGTGTGCCCTTTCCTCCCTGAAAGGGACCTCATTTCTCCCCCCCACCCACACCCAATTTCCACATATAACTCTTCTGCCAGGGATTGAACAGCAGCAACAAGAGCTGGGATCAAAGGGATTTAACACACAAACCTGGGAAAACAAATCCACCTAGGTGTTCCATCCTGAGCCAGCTTCCCAACTCGCAGGCCACAGTGAAGCAGAATGGGGTTGAATAAAGGGGAAAAGGGACAGAAACACACAACCTTGAGCGAAACCCTTAGCTGTTAAATCATCGTGGAACCCCCGAACTATTAAAAGCCTTTATCACAGTCACGGTCAAACCAACCCAGGAGATCTACTGCTTCTCCCCACCCATGGGGAAGGGAGACTTGCCCAAGGGCTGCCATTTGGGTGCTCTACTGCCTATGCCAACCAGCAGTGGTAAGGACTGGTTAGGGAGGACCACCCCTGCTGCTCCTTACCTCCTTTTGGGATCACTGCACCTTGCTGCTGCCAGGTTCACCGCTCTGTTCTTCACTGCCTCCAGAGGTCACCACTACCATCATCCTTGCTGCCCCCTGCTCAGAGTCAGACCAATTGCAATATTTGGGGTCAGGAAGGAATTTTACCCCACGGTCAGGTTGGTACAGACTGGGATTTTTGCCTTCCTCTGTAGCGGGGGGAAAGGCCCTCTTCCCAGGACCTCTGGGGCATATATTGACAACATTTCATAGAAGTAGGATGTTGGCTGCCATGGCTCCCCTACTTTATCTTTTGCAGGTTTGGGTGTTAGGTCTGTGTTGTGTCAGGTTGACAGTAGTCTTATGTAGAGTTTAGATCATGGTTTGTATGGGATGGTTTGGATAGGTCTGATCCTGTGTCAAGCAGGGTACTCACTACATGATCTCTGGAGGTCCCTTCCAGCCCTACCTCTCTGACTCTGCAGAGCCAGCTCTATTAGCCTCTGAGCTGTCCAGCTTCAGATGTAGGAATTTCAGCTCTTTTAGAAATCAGTGGGGAACAGGTTTCCCCTGAGCCTATTCCAGGAACTTGTACCCATAGACACTTTCCTTTGGAGGCTGGAGGGCCAACTTCAATGCCATTCAAAGACAAGTCTCAGGCTGAAGGCTCTTCTGCTTCTCACACACTCTTCACATTGTATCCAAGAGCCACCCATTCTTCCCAGCTCACAATGAGCTCTGTTCCCTCAATGGCCTTTCCCTTGCAACATTTGTGCGCCTACAAACTCCACTGTTTTGGAAGGGAGGGCTCAGAGATCTGATCCACCTGGCTCTTTACAGTTACACATTTAACCCAAAGCAGTACAACAGGCACAAGTAGTCCCATACCACTGAACATGTCCCCTAGGTGGAGGGCATGCAGAGGACTAACAGACCTGCCCTAAGGGAACATAAGCACACATTTCCCAGAAGCTCTGGCTCCTATGGGGTCCCAGGTGTGGAGAAGGGCAGCTCAGCTGGTTAGGAGGATGGAGCACTTGATGCTAGGACAGACCAAGGGAGCTTGTTTGTTTAGCCTGGCAAAATGGGGGCTAGAGATGATCCCTATTTTGAATGTATGTGAACCCCCAGATGCATCAGAAAGGTAAATATCCAAAAGGGAGATGAATCTGAGCTGAAGGGTGAAGCAGACACAAGTAACAACAGGCACAAACAGGCCACAAGGACATAAGATGGAAGGTGAGGCATGAGGGTTGCGAAGAGCCAGGCCAGCTTCCCACTCAGGGAGGAGGGAAGGAGCAACCCTGTTAGGTGAGGATGGCACACGATGGAGCTGGAAAGAGGGTTAGTGATGTGTGTGCGCCAGAGCCTGAAGTCAGTAACCCTTGAGACCCTTCCAGGCCCCCCATCACTGTGCTGCAGCCTTGAAGGGAGATGCTACAAGCTCTGCCCCTGGTATGGCTGGGAGACCCTCCGCACCAGGTCACTGGGGTGCCCTGCAGAACAGGGCAATGCCCTGGGAAGCCACACAGGGTACTGGCCATGGTAGGGGCAAGACCATGTATGTGGTAAGAGCCAAGCCATGACCAGGCAGGGCAGCCCACAGGAGGGGCCTTTAACATCACCAGAGCTGTGGGCAGCAGTGGAGGGTGCCGCTCATGGGGAGTCAGAAATGAGGAGCACTGGCAGAGCTGTGAGGGATCCTGGGGCCAGGCTGGCAGAGGGCTGGGAGTCAGGAGTGAGGGGCACTTGCAGAGGAGCTATGGCCGGGTCATTTTGCCTTTGACCTGTGCTGCGGTGGATTCCAGGTAAGGTTGTGCTTCCCAGGAGTCCTGCTCCACCCACCTCCTCCCACCTATCGAAGCTGATCTGGGGATGCAGCTGCCCCGGGTGGGCTTCAGGCCAGGCACCCACTCTGTTAATGTTTCATTCACTGGGATTAGAGGCTGCAGCAGCCCCTGAGGCAGAGATCCAAAGGGCACCAGCCGCTGCCAGGCCAGGTCCTCCCTGCCTCCCAGACACCCCATCGCTGCTGTGCTCTCCGGAGCTGTCCCGGCCGCAGGACAGAGACTCTGCAGCTGAGCGGAGCCCTGTGCCCTGCCCAGAGCAGCCTGAGCACTGGGGACAGGCAGGTCTGTCACTGAAGGGTCTCCCATAGGCAGTGGGCTGAGCACAGATTTGTCTGTGATGGTGGGGTCTCCCCGTGGTATGGAGTCTGCAGACTAAGGAGGGGAGGGGGCACGGGAGGTGGAGGGATGAAGACAATGCCAAGGAGTTAATGGGGTCTCCCTTCCCCCAGGTGCCTGCACCCTCTTTGCTGGAGGCCACGAGGACCCAGTCCAGCTGGCGATGCTGATTCTGAGCTGCTCCTCCAAGCTGCAGCTGCTGGAGGGGGTGCTGCGGCAGGGCCTGCCCAAGACGTTGCCGGTGATGTTGGGCTTCCCCTCTCCTGAGGGGCCCCTACAACCCTCACACACTCATCCTGGGACTGGGCTGGGTGGGGGTGGGCCCTATGTGCCCTGGGTGACTGGGGGGCAATGGGCCAAAGGTGGGGGGTGGTGAGAGCTCCTCCAGGCTCACTGATGCCATCTGGGGACTCTTGGCTCCTTGTCTGGCACTGGCCATTCTGCCAGGGTTCGCACCCCCCACCCTCATGCAAAGTCCAAACCCAGTTTAAATTCCTCTTGCTCACGCAGCAGAACTCTGAATACCTGGCTAGCCAATCACAGCTTGGGTGGGCTCCCTGCCAGCCTTTCACCACCTTGCTGGGCTTGATTCCAGCCAATTGAAGCGTGGGCTGGTTCTGTGCCAGCCAAATGGGAAGGGGATACACAGCAGGGGGTACAGCTCCAAACTCAGCAAACACTAACTCAAGAGGCAGGAGGTGGGCACAGGGGAGTGGGGAGGGGAGGCAGGGGCAGGGTCTGAGAACTTTTCCTTGGCTCAGAGGACTTCTGGGTACCAGTGCCCAGCCTGGCTGGGATCCCCAGAAACCTCATGCTTCTCTCACCCTGTCCATCACCCCTGGTACTGCAGGACATGTGCACAGAGTCCAGGGCAGATACCAAGGCTCTGAACCATAGAGACTCAGTCTCAGCCTCTGCCCCTGAGCCCTCTTCACCCAGCCTCACCGGGCATGTGTTGGCCTCAGTCCTTGGGCCAGGAGCTATTGTTCTGCCCTTCTGCGTCCCCCCATCATGGCCTATATCAGCCCTCCAAACCCTCGTACCCCCCCATCCTCCTGCATCCCCCATCTTTCTCTCCCTGTCCTGCCCTCTCACATTCCTGGAGACCCCCTCACAGTTCCAGGCCTGGGGCTCCCCGCACCCGGCTTTAGCCCCATTGAAAACCTGGAGAGGTGGCAGCTATCAACTGCGAGCTGTGGCAATGCCCACCTCTCAGGAAGTGCCAGGGGAGACTGGAGAAGAAACAAAGTCTCCAGCGAGGCAGAAGGTCACAAACAGCTAAACCCACCTCTGGGCAAAGATCAGGGGGCTCCTGATACCCAGCTGGAATCGGGCACCACCCTTGTTCTCCCTCCACCTTGGCACCCATGGGTCCGCCTCCGTGGCACTGACCCCACCACACGTCTCCATAGGTCCATGGCAGCATCATGAACATCAACCGTGGGAACCCAAGTAGCTACGAGGTGCTGGTGGATTCTTGGCCAGACTTCAAAGCTGTCCTTGTCAGGCCACGCAAAGAGGTGGGGGCTGTCAGATGCTCTGTGGGGACTGGCAGGTGTGGCACAGGAAAGAGATTTAGAGGTTTCCTCTTTTCTGATCTGGCCTCAAATCAGTGGCACTGGCTGGGGGGGTGTGAAAGAGGGCATGGGACCTTTCCCCTGTTGGGGCTGCCAGGCTGGGATGGGGGCTCTACCCGTCTTGGGGCATGGGGGAACTATTTCTCCTCCCTGGAGTTTTGCTCTCAGTGAGTGTCCCTCCAACAGGTGGTGACAGACAACTCCGATGTATTTACTAACATGCACGCAGCCTTCTACCGGGACCTGGGTGCCTACCGGGCTCTGCTGGACAGCCCGGGGGCCATCAACTGGGGCCACACAATCTACATCATAGGTAACAGCTGGGTTTGACTTCCCCAAAGCCCGAGTGACCCTGTAACAGGGGGCCTGCTCTGGGCTGATCTCACTGTGGCCCACCCCCCTGTTTCTGGGCTAACCGCCTGCCTTCTTACCCACCACGCCTGGTTGTTAATTAGTTCATTGATGTAATTAAGTGGGAGGCTGCCCATTTCATGCCCCGATGCCAGGGACCGCTATCTGCAACTCCATTCCTCCCCTACACCGCAGCCCAAGCCTTGCAGATGGCATCTCAATGTTATCATCATCACCAGGCCCCCAAACTGGGCCCCAGAATCCTCCTAATTGACCCCCGCCTGGATTCCTCTCCTCAGGCGGTCTCATCCGCCTTCATCCTGGGCAGCATAGCTCCTTGAACTGCTTCCCCTTTGGGTGTGATCCCCCCTCCCCGGGACCTTCGTCTCTCTAGCCCTGGCCCACCTCCAGGCCAGCTGAAGCCCCAGGCGCGCAGCTCTTGGGCGTCCCTCGTGGTGGGCCCCCGGCCCTCTGATCCTTTCGGTCCTGGCCCCAGCATGGGCCAGCCAGGGGGAGTTCAGACAGGCCTGAGTCTATGGCCTTTTCTCTCTCTCTGGGGGTCCACCCTCCAGGCCCTCAACCAAGGGGTCATCCACCCAGTCATGGGGGCTAGGGGTTAAGGCGCCCCAACCTGCCTTTCACTGGGGGGGTAACCGGGGGCTCCCAGACCACTGGGAGCCCCACCAGGCCACCCACTCCCGGCAGGGTGCAGTTTTAGGTCATGCCCAGGATCAGGAGCCTCCTTACCATCCCCTACAGCTCCTCCCTTACCTTCAGATGATACCAGCAGCCCTCCGGCTAGGCAGTGTTGTTGCCTGCCCTCCAGCAGCAAAACTGCCCTGTTTATATGGGCAGCCCCCGATTCAACATGGCTGCCCTCGTCAGGCACCTGGCAGCTGCCAGCTCCAGGCCCTTGAAGTGGCAGCACACACAGCGCCTTGCCACAGGCCTCCATAACACTGGCAGTTCCTGCAAACCCAGCTACCAGAGGCCCTATGGCACAGCAGGGTTGTGTGGGGCAGCCCTATGCCAGTGCTGGGCTGAGGGCACAGGCTGTCTCCCTCCTGAGAGCCAGGAGGCCAGCTAGTTTGGTGCCTTAGACACATGCCCCTCCATCACCTGCCTTGCCAGATGGACCTGCTCTGCAATGCAGACCCCCTAGTTGACACTGGTTTGTGGGGTGGGGGTTTCTGCTCATGGCACATCACTTCTCCCTGCAGGGCTTCAGGATGGGCTATACGAGGCCTCCAGGGATGTTGCCAAGGCCAAGGGTGTCCAGGTAAATTGGCAGTGCTACTTCACCTTCTTCCACCCTGACCCCAGCACCATGCCCGACATCCGGTAAGTGTGTGTCCTATCACTTCACCCAGCCACCACCCAGGGCAGTCTGATGTGGGGGTGTACAAACACATTGGGCTGTGTGCCCTTGGCACAACCAGTGACCAGCCTTCACCCCACGCAGGCTCCAGTGCAGGAGATAACCACCCTCCTCCGGGACACTTCAGGGGCTGTAGGGAAGAACCTATCACAGAGTACACCTGAGGTGGGGGACATCCCAGCTTCGAATATCCCCATGCCTATGTGTCCAACCAGCCAAAGTCCAACTGCAACACTGCAGAGAAGGACCAGGGGGTTACAGTGGAGCAGAAGCTGAATATGAGCCAGCAATGTGCTCTTCTTGCAAACAAAAAGTCAACAGCAACTGGGGTGTAGTAATAAGTGTGTCACTTGCAAATCAAGGGAAGTGATGTTTTTATTCTGTTCAGCACTGATGAGGCCTCTCCAGGAGAACTGTCTTCAGTTTTGGTCCCCTCACTTCAAGAAGGCTGCAGACAGTTTGGAAAGAGTCCAGTGCAGAGTGACAAAAATACTTGGGGGCTTTCCGAGGAGTTGTGATGAAAGGCTAAAAGAGCTCGGGTGATGTAGTATGGAGAAAAGAAGATTGAGGGGGAATTTGATAACAGTCTTCATATACCTGAAGCATGATTACAGACAGGATGGAGATGGGCTTTTCTCTGTGGCCATAGGGAACTAGAGTAGGAGTAGCACTAGGCTGGGTTTGTGGGGAAGGACCCTATGTCCCACACCCAGGTTTGAGTCAGAGCTGGCACCTCCTTAAGGGAAAGGCCTCCACTTCATTCCCACCCCCTGAGCCAGCCAGTGCTCCAGAATGGGGTTCGGGGAGGACCAGCACCACCTAGAGGGGAAAGGACCAGCACCCTTTTCCCTGCTGCTCTGAGCCGGCCCTCCTGTCCTGTAGCTCTAGTGCTCTCTCTCTGCTTCCCCAGGCTGGACCCTACCATGAAACTCTCATCCTTGAATGCCTCCCATGTTGATTTGCTGAACGCGACATGGGCCTATGGGGGGAATGAGCAGAGCCGGCAGTACTTGGCCCGCCTGATTCGCAGCTTCCCCAGCACCTGCCTCCTGGATGCAACAGGCTGCCCTATCAGCTGGAACATCACTGACCAATTCGGCACCACGGGCCATGGCTACACCCTACCCAAGTACCGCAGCCATGGCTACAATAGCATTGTGGCCATTGTCACGGCCAAGCGGCTGCATGCACAGGGCTACCCCAGTTTTGGCTACACCAGTCTGGACAACTACCCCATGCAAAGGCTGCAGGTGAGCCATGGGTTCCGGCTCCTGCCCAGCCTGTCCTACTTCATCAACCATCATCCAACACCACGCACAGTTCCCTCCTGAGCCCCATGTCCAGCCAACCAGGGCTTCAGAGCTGGGGGATCAGTTCTACACCCATGGGCCCAATGGCACCATCCCCACTGGGGAGCTGCCCTCCCCACCCCAACCCCAAACCAGCCTTACCCATGTATCCTACTTCCCACAGCCCACTGAACTGTTGATGTTCTTCCCTCCAGCAGAGCCAAGTGGTCACTGTTGTCCTCTCTGCTCTCAGTCAGAACAGCCCAAATTGCAGTCAGCCCCTAAGGTGTTCCCTGCTTATTCTCCCCCCAGGCCCAAAGAGGCAGCCCCCAGTCAGGTTTCACTCTCCCCCACCACCTTGTCACAACTTTCCCCATCATAGCCTGCCTACATCAGCTCTCTGCCCTTTGCTTTTGGCCATGCTGCCAAACCATAAGAACCAGTTGAACTGGAGAGGAGTTGGCCTGTGAAACTTAGGAGAGGGGCATGGTGTCATGCACAAACACCTTGGCTGCTGTCCACTAGAGGCAGCAACTCCCTAAAGGTAAAGAATCTGTCTTGGTTAATCCAGGGTAAAATGCATCACCCTGTTGTGATTATTCCCAGAGCAAGTGGTAGGGATCTCCTGGAATGCAGAGCTAAGGTTCACCATGGGAAGAAACCCATGGACATTCACCTGGGAAATCCCTTTAACTCTGCTCCCTGATTGTGAGGCATGGACAGTGCAAGGATCCCATGGGTGTCTTCACAGTTTGATTAAATTGATTGCTGAAGTCACTGCTGAGTTTCCTTCTGATCTCTGGCATGGCTGGGGCTACCTGCATGACAATGGGCAGTGGGATTTGATCCAGTGCCGCTCAACCATTCCCAGTTTTGGCTAAAAAAATTAGGGTTTTAGAATGCAATATGTTGGCAAACAAAGGCCTGTTATTTTAACAGGAAATGTCAATATGCTGTCAAAAGCCTGAACGGCCAAAACCTGAAGATGGTCTGGAGTCCCATTTCTAGGGGTTCCCTTTGAAATATAATGAAAGCCACCAGCTCAACCCCCTACCCAGAATATTTCCCAGGGGCTCCTCAGCCATAGTGCTGCTGCACTCACTAGTGCTGAGTCTAACTCTAAATGGAAGACAAGGATACCTAGAGAGGCTGGATAACTACAAGTCAGCAGGACCTGGTGAACTACACCCTAGAGTACTGAAAGAACTAGTTGACGTCATCGCATGACCAATGACAAAGCTATTCAAGAACTCCTGGTGCTCAGGTGAGGTCCTAGAAGACTGGAAGAGGGTCAAGGTTATGCCTATCTTCAAGGAAGGAAGGAAGGACAACCCAGAGAATTATAGGCCAATCAGTCTGACCTTGATCCCTGGAAAAATCCTGGAAAAATGTATCAAAGAATCCATCGCAGATAGGCTAACACAAGGCAGTATTCTAAATGACAGCCAACATGGCTTCGTTGCAAGCAGGTCATACCTGACCAACCTCATCTCCTTCTATGATCAAGTAACTCACCACCTGGATAAGGGAGATGAGGTTGACGTCATATTCTTGGATTTCAAAAAGGCTTTTGACTTGGTCTCTCATGGTGTCCTCATGGTAAAATTGGCAAGTTGCAGCCTCAACAACTTAACCGTCTGGTGGCTAGGAAACTGGCTCTGAGGTCAGACCCAGAGAGTGTTCCTAGATGGAATGGAGTCAACATGGCAAAAGGTGAAGTGCTGTCCCTCAAGGCTCAGTACTTGGACCAGTGCTTTTCAACATCTTCATCAACGATTTGGACATGTGTGTGGAAAGTGTACTGGCAAAATTCACGGATGACACCAAGTTATGGGGAAGTGCAGTCACCCTGGAAGACAGGTTGAGGATACAGGCTGACCTGGACAGGCTTGTAAAGTGGGCAGATCTAAACCGAGAAAAGTAAAGTGCTCCATCTGGGGAGAAATGACCCACAACATACTTATAGGCTCAGTGGTACTACATTAGCCAGCACCACAACTGAAAGAGACTTGGGGGTCATGATTGGCCATAAAATGAATACGAGCTACTAGTGCAATGCTATAGCCAGCAAAGTGAACAACACTGGCACGTAGCAACCGATGCATCACAAGCAAGACCAAGGATATCATCCTCCTGCTCAGCATTGGTGAGGCCGCAGCTGGAGTACCAATTCCAGTTCTGGGTGCCGCAGTTCAAGAGGGATGTGGAGAAGCTGGAAAGAGTCCAAAAGGGAGGCCACAAAAGTGATTAGAGGTCTGGAGAACAGACCATACAGAGAGAGGCTAAGGGACTTGGGACTATTCAGTCTGGAGAAGAGAAGACTCAGAGAGGACTTGGTGGCAGTCTTTAAGTATATAAGGGGTGAACATCAGGGGCTAGGAGAACACCTGTTCACCAAGGCACCCCAGGGAAAGACTAGGAATAATGGTCATAAACTGATAGAGGATCACTTCAGATTATACATTAGAAAAAAATTCTTTATGGTTTGTGTGTCCAGCAAACTTCTCCCAGTCATTTGGCTCAATGTTCAATGCCTTCATATTGCTCTTGCAAACATCTTTGAAATAGAGTTGAGGATGTTTGTGTGGTCTTCCTGTATAGTGTTTGCCATTCAAGTGATCCTTGAGTATATGGCTACTGTCCATTCTCCACGTGACCAAGCCATTAGAGTTGGAGCTGACTGAGAAGAGAATGGATGTTTGGAGTGTTGGCTTGTCCCAAGACATCAGTGTGGGCAACTCTGTCCCGCCTGGAAATTCCTACAATGCGGCCAAGGCAACATCAGTGCAAGCTGCCGAGGTGCTTTTGTTGGGTAGAGCATGTGGTCCAGGATGCACTGCTGTACAACAGGGTGTTGTTGACACAAGCATAATATACTTTGGCCTTAGTCATAATAGTCAGTTTGCTGTTGTTCAGACAGAAATAACAGCAGTCCTATCATTGGGAAGTGCACTCCCCCAGCCCCTGCCAGGCTGCCAGATCTGGCAGGAGCTGGGGAGTGCACTTCACAATTATGGCTCTACTAGCTACAGTAATTTCAGGCTCCTTCATAGTGGTTTAGGAGACTCCTCCTTAGTTTGCTCTTGTGGCCTTATGGCTGAGGGCAAGCAAAACTCAGAGGCATCCGAACCCCAAGCCTTTGGGCTTGGGCCTGCATGTAGGATGCCCACCAAAGGATTTGGAAACATCTGAAGCCCCAGGTTGCAGGGAGGATGTTTGGCAGTAGTAGGGCCACTTATGGTTCTTGACTGATTCACGGATTTGGAATTGATTTGGCTGATTTGGCTTGGAACATGAACCATTCTCTTGTAAAAAAAAAAAGTTTGGGGAACTCTTCTAAGAGTTGGCTTGGTCCTAGTACCACAGAGGTTGTCAACTGGGGGTATGCATACCCCTGGGGGTACTTGGGAAGGCCCCAGGGGGTACACAGCAGCAGCGCAAATAAGTGGGGGGGTGGGCCTGCCAGCACTTTGTGCTGCTTGAGCTGCCGCACCTCACTGGCACTTTTGTTTTCGCTGCTGCCGTACACCGCCAGCACTTCTGATTTCGCTGCCGCATGCCACCAGCACTTACAGTTTTGCCACCACAGGTGTGCAGGGGTCCCCCTCCCCCGGTCATCAATCAGCTGGGCTGCCGGGGGACTCCCCACTTCTTGACAAGCTACCAGGGGTACACCGACCAAAAAAGGTTGAAACCCCTTGTGCTACCGTGCTGGGCAACTTCACTGAGGACCAGCCTTGGCAGTCACCAACATGGAGAAAGTGCCATGCTTCATTAGCAAAGCCTGCCTTGGCATGTACTCAATGGCATGCAGGATCCTAGAGCTGTGTCCTACCCCTCCTCATTCCCCTGCTACAGAACATCCCCCTTTTCTTCTGTGCTGGCCCACTGCGGGGGCCCAATACCCCATGGTGTGCATCTGAGACTCAGGTTAGGATCACCCTGACCCCAAAGTGGACTCAATACTGCTCAGCTAACCTCATCTCACACACTGCAGATGACATGGTTTCATTAACCTTGCACTCAAAAGACTCAAAAGATTTTTTTACTCCAAACACCCAACCACTCATCTCAGGCTGATGGGTAACAATATGCAAATGTAGCCTGGTCTTCTCCTGAGCACCAACAGATGGCGGCAGAGAGCTTCTTCCCCCTGTGTGCTCTCCAAGAGCTGCCCCTGCCCCTACCCCTGCTACCACCCACAGAGACAGAGTTCTCTTCCCCTCCAGGGCATCAGGCTCGGGGGGAGGATTGCCCCAACACCAAACTATTTAGGTGCACAATGGCCTGGTAGGGTATCTTGGGAAATGTGGTCCAGGCATCTCATGCCCCCTTTGGAGCCAGGGTCACTCCATAATGCATCCAGTGCCCTCCTAAGGCAGGGCAGTGGCAGTGCATCATGTGTCCAACCTGCACATGCAGTTGGTGGGGTTTGAAGTAAGGGGGCTCCACAGACCTACCCACAGCAAGGGGCATGTGCACTCCCTCCCACCTCCATCCCCCCCAAGGGGAAGAGCCGGACCTGGAGTGCCACCCTCTGCCCAGGGGTCTGCTCATGTGAGGTCCCACCTGAAGCACTCTGGGGCACTCTGGAGGCAACTGCTGACCCAGGATGCTACAGCTTCCTGTCACAGGCCTGTGACCATTCCCCCCTCAGTGCAGCAGTGCCCTGGGCTGTGGCCTGCATGGGGAAGGGTGATCTTCGGGGAGCTGTGGGCAGCGGGTGCTGGGAAGAAGTCCATCTAGTGCACGGCTGTCCACTTCTAAGTGGAGCCACTGCCCCCCTGTTGCATAAGGTGCATGTGCATGGGTGCCCCCCACCTCACTCGCAGCTCCCCAGCTGTGGGCTTCCCTCTGCACTGTGCCATGCAGATGTCCTGGGCCTTGTGCTCCCCAGCACTGCTACGCTGCACTGCCCCATGCCACTGCCTGGGCAAGGACAGGTAGTGAAAACCAGAGGAAAGAAGGGGAATCCAGAGATTGTAGCCAGAGCAATGTGGGGAGTGGCAGCTGGTGGGAACCTAGGGGCTACAAATTAATCCCTCGGAGGCTGCACACAGCCTGTGGGCTGCCAGTTGGATGGCTCTGGTCTAGCAGACCTGTGCAGAACTTGTGTGGCTGTCAAGAAGGATTGCACCAGGCCAGTGCCTCAGTGGCTGGAATAGCAGGTCAGCAACTGGGCTCATAGGATCATAGGAAAGCAGGGCTGAATGGGATGTCACAAGACCATCCAGTCCAGATCTCTACCCAAGGCAGAGTCATCCTAACCTGACCATCTGATCAAGAGTAGTGGCTTCTTAACCGGGCAGGGGAAATACCGTGTATCTGTGTCCAAGAAGGCAGTTTTCCTAAACCGCCCCCAAGAGAACTGCTCTTCTGGCATGGTTCAGAACCTGCCAAAGTGCAGCGGTCTTAAGCCCAGTTTATGGAAATGGCAGTCTCCTTCCTTGCTTGCTCTGAGGGCCATATGGCTAAGGGCAAGCAAAACTCGGGGACATTCAAACCCCAAGCCTCCAGTCTTGGGCCTGCAAGTACGATGCCCGACAAAGGTTTTGGAAACATCTGAAGCCCCAGGTGTGGGTGGAGGATGTTTGCCAGTTGTAGGGCCACTTATGGTTCTGAACGCTTGGATTTGGAATTAGTTTTGGCTTATTTGGCCTTGGTTACAAATTAAAAGAAAAAAATCTAAACCAAGTTTTGGTGCAACTTGCTCCTGAAAACCTCCAAGGAAAGAGATCCCTGCAACCTCTACAGGCAGCTACTCCACTGCCCAACGACCCGCACAGGCAGACAGTTCCTCCCAGTCTCCACCCCAAACTTCCCCCACTAAAGCCTGAGGCCACTGCTCCCATAGCCATCTCCACCTCTGCAATCACCCTTGAGGCACTTGAAGACTCTTCCAGACCAAACAACCCAGTTCCTTCAGCCTCTTCCCACACATCCTGTGTCCCAGGACTCCAGTCACCTCTTCCACTCTGCACTGGACTTCTGCCAAACTGTCCATGCCCCTCCCAAAGCGTGGGACCCATAACGAGACACAGGGCTCCAGGTGCAGCCTCACCAGCACTGAACAGAACAGAAGAATCACCTCCCCCGATCTGCAAGGGACACCACTTCTAACACAACCCAGCGTCCTGTGGGCTCTCCCCGCAACAAGAACATATTCTTAGTGAGGAAAGGGTTGTATTTCAGGATAAGGGAATGCCTACAACTAGTATACTCTGAATTGCACTTCTATAGAGGTGATGGGATGAGTACGTGGGCACAGATAAACTGGAAAGCACTGTTTGACCCAAATGGGGTGGGATAAATGGGGAGCAAGGGCTGAAGTGTAAATAAGAGATACAAAACTGTTATATATGTTTAAGGGTATAGCATGCAATAAGATCAATTTACCATGTGTTTTGCAGAGGCTAAGTGTATGTACATCCAATTGTAAAACGACAAAGGGGTTCAGAGGAAACAGTGCACGGTGTGGTAATGAACAGGAAGTGTATCACGTGTATATGGATTTGAACCTGTGGTTTTGTTTTGTAGTTGAGTCTTTGTAATAACTTGGTGTTTAAGTTATATGTGAAACTGAAGATCAAGTGGAATCCATACTTTATGGTGTGTACAAGAAGTAAAATGTTTGAGATGTTATGTTTTGATTTTTTTAAAAAAGCACACTGCCAATTCATGTCCAGCCCATGGTCTGCTGCAAGCCCCAGCTCTCATTCCACAGCACTGCAGCCTAGCCAGTCTCTCCAGCCTGCACCTCTTCATGAGGTCATTCCACCCCGGTGCAGGGCTCCGCACCCATCCCTGTTGAACCCACCCGACTGATCACAGACCACCCCTCCAGGTCACCCCAGATCCCAGCCCCATGCTTTGGGGCATCAGCAACTCCACCCAACGTGGTGTTGCCTGCAAATTTGCCAAGCCTGCCCTCAATTCCCACTGTCCAAACCATCAATGAAGATACCAAATAACACGAGACCCAGGACAGACCCCTGAGGAACCCCCACCTGACACCCTCCCACCCCAAGCCATTCACAAGCATCACCAAGCAGGATGATCCAATCAGTTGTGCACCTGAACCAACCGGTGGGCATTTCCCCAGCCTGTCAATGAGGATGTCAATGGGAACAATGATCTCTGGAAGGGGGTGAGCAGGGCAGCCCCTGTTCTTGTTCTGCCCACCGTGACAAAGCACACATGGTGCTGTGTGTGCACACAGGCCTCAGGTCAGGGCCTCAGGCCTCTGTTCCTGGCTGGGATGTCTCACCTCAAGTGGCTGCAAGGAAGCCACTGCCCCTGGCTCTTGGCCATGTCCACCTAGATGGATTAACACACTCTGTTAATAGTTCATTCACTGGGATCAGAGGCTGCAGCAGCTCAGAGGCAGAGACCCAGGGGGCAGGACCAGCCGCTACAAGGTAGAGTCGACCCTGCTCCCCACAGACACCTTATCACCACTGTGCTGCCCTGGGCCAGAGACTTTGCAGGTGAGTAGGAACCCCTTGCCCTGCCCAGAGCAACCCCAACACTGCTGGGGACCGGCAGCTGACAGGCTGTACACAGGTTATTGCAGGGGCTCCCCATGGGCTTCTCTGAAGGCTGGAGGGGGTGACACCCTGAGTGTGACTCTCTGAGTGTGACGGGGACAGTGCTAGGAAGTTGATGGTGTCTCCCTTCCCCCAGGTGCCTGCACTGTCCCCATTGGAGGTGTAAGGGCCCAATCCATCCAGCGATGCTGATCCTTAGATGCTCCTCCAAGCTGCGGCTGCTGGAAGGGGCATTGCGGCGGGGACTGCCTGAGACACTACCGGTGATGCTGGGCTGCCCCGTCCCTGAAAGCCCAAGTGATAGCCCTCCTCACACACACACCCTAGGACAGTACAAGAGGGGGCCCTTCATGAGCCCTGGGTGGCAGAGCAGGCAGCGGGCTGGGAGGCAGAGCCGTCCCCAAGGCTTTGGGGCCGCAGCTGCTCCATGCCCTCCCTGGTGCTGGGTGCTGCCCCCCTCCCTCTTGCTTTCCAAAGTGCAAGCTCAGCACAAAAGCCTGCTGCTTCCCCCGTGCAGCCGGCAGGATCTGTCCAATGGCAGCACAGGTGGGCTCCATGCCATGAGCTTTGTGCCCTGTTGCAAAGGTGTGGAGAGGCTCCGGGTAAGGGGTGGGGCCTGGCCAGAGCTGGAAGGGAAGAGAAGGGGTTAACTGCGCTCTGGGTCAGGGGACCTGGCTGGGGAGGACCCCTTCCCCCAGCCCTCCCTCTCTTCCCCCACTGGAGAAAGAAAGTGGGGCCCACTCCACTGTGCGCTGGTCTCCCCAGGTTCAGCCAATTCCTCCCTCCAAAGTGACTTCCCATCCCTGGCTCTGACCCCTGCTCCCATCCTGGCCCCCTCCATGGCTCTGAGCCACCTCTGCATCTCCCAGGTCCACGGTGCCGTGATGAACATCAATCGTGGGAACCCGGCTGGCAATGAGGTGTTGGTGGATTCGTGGCCGGAGTTCAAGGTTGTGCTCTCGCGGCCACGCAGAGAGGTGGGGCCCTGTTTCTGCCCCTCCTGCCAGCTCTGCTCCCCATGCCCCTTCCCTGCCCTACCCATGGGCCTCTGCGCTCAGGGCTCCCCCGTGTCCCTGACCTAGTAGGAGGGCTTGGGCGATCTGGGGCACTGCCCAGTGCTCTGCTGCCCACTGCAGGTGGTATCTGACCCTGGCGACTACTACATCAACCAGCATGCGGCCTTCTGCCGGGAAGATGGGGCCTGGCAGGCACTGCTAGAGACCACTGATGCAGTGGACTGGAGCCGGGCCTTCCAGCTGTACAGTAAGTCCCCACCCACTCCATGCCCTGGGGCAGTGATGCTGCCCTGTGCCCTCAGCTCCTTGCAACTTTGTGGAGGAGCAGTGGATGAGGATACAGGTTCTGGGTGCTGCTGGGGTGGGGAGCGTGGGTTTAGGCGGCTGGTTGCAGAGCAGAGCTTGCCAGCGGTGCAGCGGTGGAGGGGTGCGGTGTGCGGTGTGCGGATGCGGCAGGGTAGGATTGGGGGCAGGGGATACAGAACATGAACCCGGGGCTTTGGATCACATGGAGAGCGCAGTACATGGGTTGGCCCTGAATGGGCCCCCTGAGGGCTGGGCCAGGCCTAGCTGGCTGTGGGGAGGGAGGTGGAGGGGCATTGACTCCTTGTCCTGGGACACGGCCCCCTCTATGTACACAGGCAGGATTCAGGCCTCTGCTCCTCTCACCATGTTGCCACCCCCAACAGGCTTCCAGAACGGAGTGTACAAGGCCATCAGGGACGTGGCCAAGGCCAAGAGCATCCACCTAGATTTGTTTCAGTACCTGATGCTGCTGCCCCCAGACCCACCCGCCATGCCCCACTTCCGGTCAGTGCCTGGTGGGGGCAGGGTACAGGCAGGATGAAAGCAGCCCCAAGACTTGCAGACGGTGATGGATGGGGCAGGCTGGGACCCCACAGCCACACCTTCACATGGCACCTTGTGGTCAGGGGTTCCCAGCCTGGGTCTGTCCTAGGCTGCCCCATGCCAGAAGCTGGGGGAGGGCATGGGGGTTGGTTCCCCCCCCCCGCACCCCTCCCAACACCTCTCCCCTGTGGCTGTGTTGCAGGCTGGAGGAGGGGCTGACGCTTGCCCCTGTGTCCCCCGCCCATGCTGCATTGCTCAATGATGCCTGGGACTTTGGGGGCAACTTGTGGAGCCTGCGCTACCTGGAGATGCTGATTCGGTGCTTCCCTAGCGCCTGCTTGCTGGGCCCTGATGGGCACCCTGTCTCCTGGACCCTCACCAACCCTCTTGCCTGCCTGTCCCATGGCTACACCCTCCCCGCTTATCGTGGGCAGCACTGTCAAGGCGTGGTGCTGGGCACGCTGGTGGGGCAGCTCCATGCCCAGGGCTTCCCCGCCTTCTGTGGGGTGCTGCCTGAGAACAAGCCCTCCCTACGTGCCCTTCACGGCCTCGGCTTCTGCAACCAGCCTGGGGTCTTATACCTGATGGTCCTGAAACCAGACCCCACCTTGGCACCCGGGCACTAGCAGGCGCCCCCAGCACAGAGCACGATGTGCCCAGTTCTGGGGCTCAGAGCCTGACTTTTCGGGTAGAAATGAGTGGGGTGGGTGGAGGGGTGATGCACGGGGCAAGGGATATTAGGAAAGGGCTGGTCTGGGCAGGTGTGACTGGAGCTGGGGAGACTGAGATGGCAGTAGACACAGGTGGGTGAGGGAGTGCAGGGCTGGGGGGGCAGTGGGGAGTGGGTGAGGGGCACTGACAGGGTGGTAGGCAGCGGCTGTCCCACAGGACACCTGCAGGCTCAAGGCTAGTTTTCCCATGGCCACTGGGTGTCGCTGTTATGTCCAGATCAGCAGCTGTGGCCTGGGATCTGGCTTGGAGGAAATAGTCAGGACTTGGAGCTAACCCCTTCTTGCCCGATCTCCGCTGGGGCTGGTGGAGGGATAGGATGGTGGGCCCACCAGGCCGGTTCCTGCCTCTGGGTGCTTGTCCATTGTCATGATAACTCTCCAAGGCCTGGAGGGGACACCAGCCTCCACCACAGCACCACCAGGAGGAAGTGAGGCACAGAGCAAAAAAAGCTGTGCTCTGTGCATCGTCCCGTAGCCTGCACCATATCTGGGCTAACAGCCCCAGAGCATTCATCCTGGCCTGGCCCGGCTCCCTCCTTTTCCTTCTCAGCCATAGTATCAGGTGCCAGGTGCCACTGTGTCCCGCAGCCCCGGAGATCGTGAGACAACCCACCCCTTGCTGCAGAGCCAGGCCCCATAATCTCAGCACCGAATGAAATGCCTTGTCTCTGGGGCAGCAGTGGGAAACCTTCCTCCCGTGACCCTGGTGTCACCAAGGCCTGTTTGAGCCTCGGCCTCTTGCTGGTGTGTGAACTGTTTGTGTTTCTCTGGAGCATTCACTCTGAACCCTAGTGATTACAGATTAAATGCCAGCCTCGTGCGCAGTGCCACGGCTGATGGTTTACAAGTTCTGCTGATGGGCTGATGCCCCTGCCCTACCCCAGACAGACTCCCACCCCACCCCAGGGCTAAGAGCCCTGCAGCCCCCAACACTGTGACAGCAGCAATGTATTGCGTGTTTGTAATACAGGGCTGGCCTGAAAAAAGGGTTGGGGGAGCAACTGCTGGGATGGAACAATTCATTGTATGGTGGCCATGGCTGACTCTGGTAGGATCAGGAATGAGGCCGCATTGCACCGGGTGCTGCTCAGGCAGGTGAGCCCATGCCTCAGCGTGTTGCTGAATGAGACTCCTAGGCTTTTAAACCTATGGGGTTTAAACACAGCCGTGCGTGGATGGGTAATGTGGCTGCAGTCACTGCTGGGGCAGGCCACAGGGTGCTTCAGACCCTGCTTGGCAGCGAGATAGGTGAGATACTGTGGTCCCCTTATACAAGGTCCACTTGCCTGGCACCGAGATGCAGCCATTTCTGGGGAGGCATGGGCAGTGGTTCTGCACCTGCAGCCAGCTCCCCCTGGGGTGGGAAGTAGATTGGGGCTCTGGGGCTGATGGCACAGCTGCCGAGAGGTTGCACTTACAAGGGTTAACCAGCCCAGCAAGCGGCTGTGCTGCCCTGAACTCTCGGCCTGGGGGGTACTGAGGGGCTGGGAGTGACTCATGCGGGGTCTGGGCCTGTTCCCCTCCCTCGGCCCTGACCCAGGGCCGCCTCGGCTTTGTCCCATGCTGGGAATCTGGCTGAGTCAGTTGGATTCCCGGAGCCCTGGCTCTGGGCAGACAAAAGGAGATGGCAGGGGGCAGCGACCCTGCCCCAGCCTGGCCCTGTCCAGGGGGAAAGCGGCTGTCAGGGCACTGAGTCATTGCACGTGCCTGCTCCCCCCCACACACATGGCTCTGCCAGGGCCCTTCGCTGCCAACCCGCCGGTCCTGTGTTGGGCTCCCCCACAGCTCTGCCAGGACCCCTCAATCCTGACCCACAGCCCCCTGCTACCCCAGCCCTGGGCCCCAGCCAGGAGGGAGGTGGGCATGGGGAAGCAAATGGAGGGGCTTGCAGACCCCAAAGCAGAGGGGTGGAGGCCGAGGTGGGGGCGCAGCTTGGTGCCCATGCTCCTGGCATTGCTTCCTCTTTAGTTAGCCCTTTGTGTTCTCTGTGCCATTGTCAGGGACCTCCAAACCTCCATGTATCATGTGGAGCTGCCCCCTGCACCCTACTATAAGACATTTGCATCATGAGAAGAAGTGGGGCTCATTGGCTGCAGCAAGGCGGCTGCAAGCCAGGACTCCTGGGTTGCAAGTCTAGGAGGACAGTGGGATTCAGTGGGCTAGAGCAGAGGGGCTGTGTTGGGGGGGTGGTCTTTTCCTGGCTATGCTGCTGACCTTCTGTGCCTTGGTGTTCATCTTGTGGATAAGGCCCTTGGGCTGGGACTCTCTGGTCACCGTTGGGCAGGCCCAGCTCCTAGAGGTTTGCCCTGGCCTGACAGAGTGGCTGGAACTACTGAGGCCAGAGCCCCTCTTTGCCATCATCCTCTGTCTCCAGTGATCAGCCCTCAGCCTAATGTTACTTGTGGATCTTCTAGAGGCCACTCCCTATTCCCACCGTGTGCCACAAAGCAATCCCTGGCATCTCTGCACAGCTTGGCACACCTGTGCCTGACTCATGAATTTTGCATTGGCCTGGGGAGGTCACCGTGCAGCTCTTGCTATGGGAACTGTCTTGTCTGCGGTGCCTCTGCACTTGCCTTTGCTGATACTATATAGCCACTGGGACTGGGACAAGGGCAGCAGCCTTAGATCTTCGTGGGTGGCTATGAGCAACAGCAGCTGCTGCCCAGTACAAACAGCCTGCTCTTACCAGGCTGGAGTTGGGAGCATTGTTGAGCTACCACAGGCTGTAAGGAAGAAGCCAGGATCTTGGAAAGGGGCGTTTACACTGAGCCAGGTTTCCCAGAGCCCCACAGAAAGTCCTAGGCAGGGCAGGGAAAG